TAACCTCTTGTCCAGCGTGACACCAAGGTACTTGACAGAAGACTGCCAAGGTATGGAATCGTTGCCGAATCTTAGAGGTGGTGGAGTGGAATAGCGACGTAAGCTAAAAATGACTGCTGAGCTTTTTGAAGCGTTTATGTGTATTTTATCCAGTTATTGTACCATGTTGCTAATAGATTTAGGTGATCTTGTAAGTTGTTTGTTATCGCTTCAACKTTGCGGGATTCACTGTATATTGTTGTGTCGTCTGCAAATAGTGCAATGTTTGTACGTGGTGACTGTGGTATATCAGAGATGAATATATTGAACAATATAGGTCCCAGTTTGGAACCTTGAGGTACACCAGCAGATATGTTCCGGGGGACAGAGAAATTATCATTAATTCTAACTGAGAATTGCCTATTTGTTAAAAAGGAATTGATAATATCAAATAAGTACTTCGGTGTATTGAAAGATTTTAGTTTGTATAAAAGACCTTTGTGCCATACTTTATCGAACGCTTTTGAGACGTCTATAAATACGGCACCAGTATRGCAATGTTTTTCAAATGAATTACTGATATGTTCAGTTATGCGAAAAAGCTGTTGTACTGTCGAGTGGTTGGTTCTAAACCCAAATTGAAATTTTGGGATAACATCTGCGATGTCCAAATAATTTTGTAGTCTCGTATGAATAACTTTTTCAAAAATTTTTGATAGGGAGGTAAGTAAACTTATCGGTCTGTAGCTATCAGGATTTGATTTATCYTTACCAGGTTTTTTTATTAGTATAACAGTTGCTAACTTCCAGCTCTGTGGAAAGTGTCCAACACGTAACAAAAAATTAAATAAGGAAGTTATAAAGACGAGTCCTTTGGTAGGAAGTTTCTTAAACATGGTGTTGGTTATATGGTCGTGACCCGGGGCTTTTTTGTTRGGTAAATTTTTGTCAATTAGCTGAATTTCATTAGGTGTAACATAATCCATGCATGTTTGAACTGAATAATCAGGTAGGTTTAAAAACTTGTGGACCCGACGTTCATTATTAATATGAGTAATTTGGTTGGTAGAAAATGTATTGTATAACATTTCCGAAAAAACATTACATTTATCTGTATCGGATATAACTAGTTGATTTGCTGTACGAAGAGGGGGGATTATGTTTATTTCTTGGTTTAGTAGTCTTTTGGTCTCCTTCCATAAATTTGAATCTCCCGGGTACATATTTAGTAGATAGCTATTATAAGACGACACACGATTGTTTTGTAAGGCCGTTCTAACTTCCTTAGTGAGTTTATTCAGTAATTGCTATTGGACAACCTAAAAAAATATGCAAAATCATAAACATCCTAAACCTACTTATAATATATGCAGCTTAGGCACTTACTACTTATATTAGTTATAATTTTAATAAAAACAATTTATTTCATACATTTATATTCTGTAGTTCTGTACTTGTATATTGGTACTTATGCAGTCATACCTAATTAGTAATTATTTATTAGAGTAAACTTATATACAGCCCCTATTTTTATGTGCACCGCGAGTCCATGACACACAATGTGCACCACGAATGTACAAATGTGTACTACGATTTGAACGTGTATACACTAATTGCGGTCTACAAAACAAAAATTACATAATATTCCAGCTACTAAAAAATATGAGTATTTCCTGAATTTTGTTATTTTATTTGATTGTATTGTTAAATTATTATTATACTTCTATTTATGAACATATATATACCTATTATATGTAATACATTGCTTTTTATAAGATAATAGTAGTGCATACAATTTTCGTTTAAATAGCCGTATAATTAAGTGTGCAGTTCGAAATTTTACAAATAGGGCCTGCAGTTATATATATAATAATAATTAATAGTATACACTTTTTTTTTTTAATCTATATTAAGCCTCGATGTCAAAGGCCATTGGCGTTGGTTTACAATAGGTTACATATATATACAATTATTTACAGGTTATATACCATTTATAAGTTTGGGTTTAATTATAAATGTTATCATATTACTAATATTGTCTGGGTGTAGGGCTTCTGATAAAATGTTGGATACACTTGCTTCCCGTTTGTCCGTTTCGTATATGCGGCATTCAAATATGATGTGTTTGATTGTGAGAGGAATACCACAACTGGCWCAAATGGAAGGGTCTTCCTTTTTCATCAGATATTGGTGTGTTAGCCATGTGTGTCCTATTCGCAAATAGTATACACTATAATATATACTATATATGTATTTTGTAGCTATAATATTATATAATATAGCTTATAAGTACTTGTCCTATAGGCTATAGTCTATACAACATTACAATGTATAAGCCTTTAAACAGTTTAATCAGTTTAATATTTAAACAGTACATAGGCGCTAGGCAGTTATCAGTTATCTGAAGTACCTATAGATAGGTAATTAAATTCTAGACTACAACATTGCATTTCACTTATAAAAGATTAATTTGTTGTACATTGTATTTTATGATGTATTTATCTTTTTGTTTATTGAATCACTTATATATATATATAT